TGACTTGGAAATGTGCTTCGCCTCTGGCCAGCTGGCTCCGCACTCGCCGCTTTAGCGAGCCTACTTTTCGACCCTCCGGAGCCACAAATCATTGGAAAACATAGTGAATCGCGACTTTCCTACCTTTTCGCGCATCTCCATCTTCTTTCTTCTTACTCTTTCTCTTCTACTCTTCTCTCTTCTGATCTTTCTCTTCTCTCTGCCTCTGCCCTGCTCTGCTTTTCATCTGTCCATATTGTCGGAAGTTTGACTTCTAAACTTCCTTCGATAATTGTAATCCTGGGTCTTTTGCTTGAAGGGTGGTTAAAGGTGAAGGCACGAGTCTGAAAGCCCCATCTTTAAAGCAGGCGCGGAGCTTTAGGACGCGTCGCTTTGTACAGGATGTAGGTAGAGAGAGCCGAGTTGGCATTGGCAAAGTCATCCCTGGGCTTTCGGCTGGCAGCTTGGCTCTTGGAACCACGTGCTGGGGCGGATGAACACAGTGAAGCCCGTGATCAAGCAAACACGTACTGCAACTTGATTCTCCAGACCTGGGTGTTTTGACACGTTTTGACTTGAATGATTTGAAGAAGCATAGTGAAGGAGAGGCAAAACCAGCATGGTGGCAATGGCGTTCCATACGCGGCCACTGTCATCCAGTTGGGGTCCGTTAGTGAAATGAACAGCCTTTGACGCCCACAGGGGTGTAGGGCCAGGGACCTGATCAGATCAGTGAGATTGAGTGAGGTGAGTGGTGATCAGCCACTCCAGTACAACGGCAACGACGATTTTGCTGTTCAAAACATTGGCTAATTCCAGTATACCAAAACACACACACATGCACGCACGCCTACCTTCATTTGCCTTCCACATAATTATGAGCTTCATTCAATCAATCCGAGACCAGAGTCTCAGAGCACTATCTTCAAAAGAGAAGCTTCTTCAATGGGTCATCTAAATCAGAGCTAGAGAGGGCAGAAGGGGAGATAGATAAGACGAATTCCATGAAGACAATGTGCCTGATTCATCTTGATTCTACATTACATCATTTCATCATGTGGCCCAAGAATGAGTAGTTTTCGGGGTAGTTTCAGATTAAGTCTGAGGGAAGCAGCTACCCGTTGTCATGATATGTCATGATATGCCCCTTGTATCCCCTTGTTTTTAATCCCTGAATATCCCTGATCAGGATTCCAAACTCTGAATGCGAGGTCTTGCAATACTTCAGAAATTGCGAAGAAAGGGAATGGTTTTGGAGTCTCAGCTGCCATAGCTATTTGTAGGGTGTATATACATGATTACTTGTACATGTATATGCAATGTAGCTAGCAGAGGTGCTGCAAATCAAAGTAATCCAAGCCGAAGCGGGAGCGAGGGTCAAGTTCAGTCCGCATATTATCATCATTTTATCATCCAGGGTGCAGAGTGTCATCAAGCACAGTGCAGCACACTCGCACATGATGTGGTAAGCAGTCAGCACAGCACAACCGAAGGACGTTTAGAAGTCAAACTTCAACAGCGGTGAGAGCAGTCAATGAAGAGAAAGAGACAGAAGAGAGATGAGTCAGAAGAGAAAGAGTCAGTAGAAAGAAGATGAAGACACACAACTTTTCCAATTTTTTTGTGGCTTCGGAGGGTCGAAAAGTAGGCTCGCTAAAGCGGCGGGTGCGGAGCCATGTGGCCGGATGAGAGATCAAACATTGCACGCCGTTGTGGCGCGAAGCCGATTTCGAAGTCAAAAAGTTGAAGCAAAAACACAAGTCCGGACCATTTTTGGCAGTTGAGATGTCGAAAAAGTGCACGCGGCTGTGGCGCGAAGCGCATTTCGAAGTCAAAACGTGCAAAGCTGACCATTCTCGGAGCAGTATTTTAGAAGTGAGATGCCCCAAAAGAATGCACGCTTTGTGGCGCAAAAGCACACGTCGAAGCCAACATGTTAAAACTTGGGCAAGAAAAGGATTATCGGTTCGGAGCATTTTTGGGAGTTGAGATGTTAAAAAATTACACGCGCTGTGGCGCGAAGCACATTCGTATCGTAAGTCAAACACGTTAAAAACTGACGGTGTCGGGCCACTTTTGGAGGTTGAGGTGTCGAAAAAGTGCGCCCCAAATGTGACGCGAAGCACATGTGGAAGTCAAAATGTGATGAACATCACTTTTGTAAGCAGCATTGTGGCACGAAGCACATTTGAAGGTCAAAATGTGAGAAACACCACGTTCAGACAACTTTTGGATGGTGAGATGTCGAAAAAATGCGCACCGTTGTAGCACGAAGCACCTTTCGAAGTCAAAATGTGAGATAGATAGACAGAGATAAATACACAGATAGACAAACATGACAGATAGACTGATAGACTGACAAGAAGACAGACAGACAGATAGATAGGACAGATAGTCAGACAGACAGACAGGCAGGCAGGCAGGCAGACATACAGATAGATAGAGAGAGAGAGAGAGAGAGATAGAGGGACAGAGAGAGAGAGAGAGAGAGATAGATATGTAGGTAGGTAGGTAGGCAGAT